AATGCCAGAGAGACCGGCCAATCAGGGGCTAATGCCAGGAGAGACCGGCCAATCATGATCTAATGCCAGGAGAGACCGGCCAATCAGGGGCTAATGCCAGGAGAGACCGGCCAATCATGATCTAATGCCAGGAGAGACCGGCCAATCAGGGGCTAATGCCAGGAGAGACTGGCCAATCAGGGGCTAATGCCAGGAAAGACCGGCCAATCATGATCTAATGCCAGGAGAGACTGGCCAATCAGGATCTAATGCCAGGAGAGACCGGCCAATCAGAGTCTAAGTCCAGGTTATTCAACCAGTGTTGAGGGATTCATGCTGATGTGTTTGTTTCAGACAGCGACCTAATGAAGGAACATAAAGACAAAGCAACAGGGCGGGGCACAGGTGAGTGGTGGGGGAGGTTACCTGCAGCTGTGGGTCTGCATCTTCCTGTATCTTCTGTGTTTACTCTGCCCTCAGCTGTGACTGCAGGTGGAGGTGTGGTGAACCAGTCTGCAGGCAGTGAGAGCGTCGCCCCTGAAGTGGCCATGGCCGGACCTTCAGGTATGAACACAGGTGACTTCTGCTCTGCCGTGATGTCACAGTGATGTCACAGAGTCTATATGTTTTAGGAATGCTGCTGCTGTACGTGGTCATCCCAACCATCCCGCTGTTGCTGCTCATCCTGGTGGCCTCTGGAACGTGCTGCTTCCAGACGCTCAGCAGAAGGTAGGACTGACAGCTTTATTTCCCAGCATGCTCCTGGGCTTCTGCTGCAGCAGGAAACAGCTCACACTCATTGAATGCATCTCAAAGGTCTCTGTTTCAGCAGCGTCCTGAGCTCAGTTCACCGCCATGCAGTAGCTAGCTTAGCAGACCATGATCCAACCTGGACCGGGGTTTTTATCCCTGTTCAACATCAAGAGTAAAAAAAATACCACGACAGTTTCAGCAATCAGTCGTCACCTTCACCAGACGTTGTTGCTCTGCCAGCGCCTGCCGCGTCCGCCGGCAGGAAGTGACGCTGGCAGAGCAACAACGGCTCAGTCATGGCTCTGACCGGCTTTGATCTCAGAGCTGCTGGGACGTCTCTGATTGGTCACTGAGTGTTAATGACATCATCCTGTCTCTCCAGTCGTCCTCAGACAAAGACCCCCACCGACCGATCAAACCTGTGGATCTCCAGGACACCTAAACCTGATACCATGGAGGTGTGACATCACTGTGACATCAGAGGCAGAGCAACGATGTCACCAGAGACTTTCATTTGGTTGTGACCAATGATTTATGGTAATAGCAGCGGGGGGTCAACAGTGATGTCATGTTGAGCAGAAAGTGGGTGGAGCTTATTTATGTGATTTAATGAACTGGATGTTTTGTTCCAATCCAGCACTGCTCTTTATTATTTTGTGAGAGGCGCCCCCTGCTGGGCAGACATGTATGGAGCAGGACAGCTGTAGGTTTAGCCGTCTGGAAGAAACTTCGGTTAAAACTCGACTGATCCGACTGCTGCTGCTTCTGGTTCTGACAGGAATGAACTGGATCAGTACCGTGCAGATGGTTACAGATCAGAACCAGAACTTTAACCTCCAGCAGTGTGATGGAGCTGATGGGGAGCAGGAGTTTGGACCCAGCAGCCTCCTCAGACCGCCTCAGTGAGCTCCTGTCTTGTTCTCTGTCTGCTTTTCCATGCATGAACCTTCAGTGTTGAATAAAAATGTCACCTCTTGGTCTGCGTCTCTTTAAAACGGTCTGACAGAAACATGGCTCTCTGCTTCTGGTTCCACTTTGGGAGGCTGGTTTCCCAGGTCAGTCAGGCCAACCATTCCCTCTAACGACCCCCCTTTCAGAGACATAGACAGGTATGGGGCATTGCAGGCTAACAAAGAAGCCAAACGACCCCCATTCCAAAGGGGGGGACCCAATCATCCGTTTCTATTTGCATGTTTTCTAAACTAAAACCAGGCTTTGTTGGGCTGCTGGATAAAACCTGGAACTAAACGCTATTTCTGACATTTTGAAGTGAAAAATCTTCCTGGATGGAAGAGAAACGTCTTCAAACTTGGAAACAAAGTCCTTTTACTTGAGTACAGTCATGGCCAAACGTTAGAGAATGATTCAAATGTTAATATTTCCAAAGTCTGCTTCAGTTTTTATAACAGTAATCTGCATTTAGTCCAGAATGTTCTAAAGAGTGATCAGCGTAACAGCAATTAATTGCAAAGTCAATATTTGTCTAGAAAATGAACTTTATACCTAAACACATTTCATGGTGATTGCAGCCCTGCCTTAAAGGAGCAGCTACCATGGTTCCAGTGATTGGTCCATGAACTCAGGTGTGGGTGGTGATGAGGACAGGGCTGCAGATCAATCTGTCAGGATTCAGTCAGAATGACGCAACAGAGGCTGCTGCTCGGCATCATTGCTTCTCTGCTGTGAACCATGGTTACCTCTAAGAAACACCTGCAGTCATCATTGCACTGCACAAAGATGGCCGAACAGGAAAGAGAATGGCAGCTAGAGAGATTGCACCTCAGTCAGCAATCTATGGCATCATCAAGAACTTCAAGGAGAGAGGTTCCATTGCTGCCAAGAAAGACCAGCGAGCGCCAGGACCGTCTCTGAAAGGGTTCCAGCTGCGGGATGGGGCTGCCAGCGGTGCAGAGCTTGCTCAGGAATGGCAGCAGGCAGGTGTGAGTGCATCTGCACTAGACTAAATAAATGCAATAATATCCACCGTCTGGTCTTTAAGACAAAATAAAGATATCAGCATTTAAATCATCTTTAACACATTATATATATATAAGGTTGATGAACAGTTAGCATGGGCTACCTCCAGCATGCTAACCAACAAACAGCATGTTCACTACTCACCACTTCCTTATAGTGATCAGTGCCTTCATGCTCACTATTCAGGTCTATTTCATTATTAAATTGGTGTTTTTGTTTTAAAAATGCATAAAAAACAAATAGATAAACTAATAACCTGTCCAGCTGTCCCACCTGACTGGGAACACTGGAGCAGAACTGGATGACTGGCTGAATGCACCGTGATTGACTGTCTCTCCAACCAATGGAGCAGCGGAGGCGGGGCTAAGGGTACTTCATCCACCCCCGTCCATCATGGAGGGAAACCAGCTGGAGGCTGCAGAGGACCAGAGATGGAGGCGGACCTTCTCTTTCCAGCAGGAGAACCATCCAGATAAACCCCCCCCCCCATTACCCAGGTTCCTTAACTAATATTATAAACTGATATCAGATTATAAAGTAAAAACGATTGTTCTAGAATTTCTAAAAGTAGAATGGGAGGCAGATCTTTTAGTTCTCAGGCTCCTCTCCTGTGGAACCAACTACCAGTTTTAGTCCGTGAGGCAGACACCCTGTCTACTTTTAAGGCTAGGCTTAAAACTTTCCTTTTTGATAAAGCTTCTAGTTAGAGTGGCTCAGGTTGTCCTGATCTATCTCTATAGTTATGCTGCTATAGGCTTAGACTGCTGGAGGACATAGGGACCTCTTTTTCATCATTCTGCTTCATTCTATCTCTATTCTCCCACTCTGCAGAATCTGGTAGTTCAATCTCTAGACTCAGTCTATCACTAACTGATCACTGATCATTTCATCCTTTTTCTGAACTTTATCATCATGTCTGCAGAGTTGAGAGGAACAGGAAGCTGCTTTCAGTCAGCAGGACCAAACTGGTCCCAGTCAGAACTCTCTGACTGGGACCAGTTTTTATGAAAGGAGGTTCTGTTCAGAAACGAAACAACTAAACGTGCATAAAAGTCTTTTATTAAAGAAGCAAAGTGTGAAAGGCACAGACTGGACCTGAGGACCAGCAGAACCAGCAGAACCAGTGGGTCCAAACGTCCTGCGGCATCAGAACATGAAGCTCCAGGAAAACGGACCTTCAGCGGCTCCGCCCCCAGCTCCCTGATTGGATCATCTCTGAACCAACACACATCATGGGTCTAATCAGTTCCCGCCTCCAACCCATGTTACCATGACAACCCATCATCTATATGACGCTCAGCCCGTCTGGTCCCTCAGTGAGCGCGCTCAGAGCGTCAGCTGAGCTCCATGTGTTCCACGCCGCTCGCCGCCTCCCCATGGGGTGACTCCCCCCCCTCCTCCCCATGGGGTGACTCCTCCCCCTCCTCCCCGTGCTGTGACTCCTCCCCCTCCTCCCTGTGCGGTGACTCCTCCCCCTCCTCCCCATGGGGTGACTCCTCCCCCTCCTGCTGCCTGTAGCCCACAGCCTCGTCCTCGAACAGGATGGGCGGAGCCTCGGCCGGCTTGCCCAGGCCGTGCATGCGTCTCTGGTGCTGCTGCAGGTTGCCGCGGCGGTTGAAGCGGGCGGGGCAGAGCTCGCAGGTGAACGGCCGCTCGCCGGTGTGGATGATGACGTGTCTGGCCAGCTGCGAACGACACTTTTTGTCTTTGCCACAGATGTGGCAGACGAAGCTCTGGGGCGGCCGCGCTCCGTCGGCGTGGACGACGTCACGGTGCCTCTTCAGGTGGCTGAGTCGGCGGAAGCTGCGGCTGCAGAAGTCGCAGGCGAACGGCCGCACGTCGCTGTGGATGAGGGCGTGGCTGGCCAGCAGCGAGCGGAAGCGGAACGCCTTGCCACAGACGGGACAGGGGAAGGAGCTGAACATGCCGCCGCTTCTCCTGCGCCCGGACGATCGCGACGACTCGCCGGCCTTGGTCCTCAGGTGGACGCACAGGTGGTGCTGTTTGAGGCTGGCGGCGTGGTGGAAGCCTCGCTGGCAGACGCTGCAGCGGTGAGGCTTGTCGGCCAGGTGGACGCGAGCGTGGGCGGCGAGCTGCACCTCCGACTTCAGCCTCTTTCCACAGACGCCGCAGGTGAAGCCGTCGCCGGGCGGCGGGCCGTCCTCGGCGTCCAGGTGGTTGGGGTGCAGGAGGATCTTGTGGCGCTTCAGCTGGTACTGACGGGCGAACTTGCGGCCGCAGATGTCGCATAGATGCGGCCGCTCGCCGGTGTGGGTCTGGAAGTGGACGGCCAGCTGCGAGCGGCACTTGAACTCTTTGCCGCAAAGGTCGCAGAGCAGCGAGGCGGGGCGCTGAGGCGCGGCGGCGCCGGCCGCGTGCACCGCCTTCCTGTGATGCTCCAGGTCGTTGATCCTCATGTAGGCCTTGGGGCAGCGCTCGCAGCGGAACGGCTTCTCCCCCGAATGGATCACCTCGTGGGTCTTCAGCCTGGAGCGGCAGCTGAACGTCTTTCCGCAGACGGCGCACAGCCAGGCGGGCGCCAGCGGCCTTTTCTCGCGCCGCGGCACGCCATTGGGGTGCAGGTGGCTGAGGTGGTGCTGCAGGTTGTCGCGGCGGTTGAAGCGGAGGTCACAGAGGTGGCAGGCGAAGGGCTTCTTCCCGGTGTGGATGAAGGAGTGGCGGGCCAGGCTGGACTTGCTCTTCATCACCTTACCGCAGACGTCGCACACCGTGCTGTCGGCCTCCAGCTTCACCGCCCGCAGGCCGCCGCGCTCAGAGGCCACGCCCAGAACGGGCTCTGAGGGAGCCAGAGGCCGGGGGCCCGTGGCGTCTGTGGGGGAGAACAGGGCAAGTTAGAGACCAACATCGTCCCACTGATCCTACACTGGGAATGGGGGGAGGGGCTATAACTGCTACTCCCTGATGTTAATGGGCTCCAAGCGGCACAAAGTTCGGACACGTGGGATAATTTAAAGTCGTAGGGAAGCGGATATTCCAAACGTCACATTTCCGAATTCTCCCAGTGGTGCCCGACTTTACAGGAGTGAATAAAGTGAATCTGATTGGTCAATTATCAAGGGGGCGGGATTGTTGAGGCGGAAGGTTCGCAAGAAAGTTTGGTTGTTGCAGGTTTGTAGGAAGCATCTTGCTAACCAGTTAGCATCTTAGTGCTAGCAGGTTCCCAATGGGAAATTCCATTGGGACCAAGTAGCACTAAATTGGTGACTTAGAAACGATGCTGTCAAGGAACGCTATGGACAGCGGAAACATGCAAGAGGAGGAGAGTTTAGTGTCGGAGGTCGTGGATGAGTCTCCGCCTCCTTTCAATGGAGCGCTAACAGAGCTCAGAGTATTAAGTTAAAAGTTATGTTTCTTGCAGCGGCCAGGGCCAACGTTAGCCCGCCCGTCTGCAGCGGCCAGGGCCAACGTTAGCTGCTCCGTCTGCAGCGGCCAGGGCCAACGTTAGCTGCTCCGTCTGCAGCGGCCAGGGCCAACGTTAGCCCGTCTGTCTGCAGCGGCCAGGGCCAACGTTAGCCCGCCCGTCTGCAGCGGCCAGGGCCAACGTTAGCCCGTCTGTCTGCAGCGGCCAGGGCCAACGTTAGCCCGCCCGTCTGCAGCGGCCAGGGCCAACGTTAGCCCGTCTGTCTGCAGCGGCCAGGGCCAACGTTAGCCCGCCCGTCTGCAGCGGCCAGGGCCAACGTTAGCCGCTCCGTCTGCAGCGGCCAGGGCCAACGTTAGCCGCTCCGTCTGCAGCGGCCAGGGCCAACGTTAGCCGCTCCGTCTGCAGCGGCCAGGGCCAACGTTAGCCGCCCCGTCTGCAGCGGCCAGGGCCAACGTTAGCCCGTCTGTCTGCAGCGGCCAGGGCCAACGTTAGCCGATCTGTCTGCAGCAGCCAGGGCCAACGTTAGCCGATCTGTCTGCAGCAGCCAGGGCTAACGTTAGCCGATCTGTCTGCAGCAGCCAGGGCTAACGTTAGCCCGTCTGCAGCAGCCAGGGCTA